TCTCAGATTAATGTAGGCTACTGATTCCTAAAGTCACATAGAGTAAGTATTAGCCTATTCAATATTGTTGAATTTTGCAGAAGGGGAGTCTGAGGTGATGCAGAAACCTGGCGCTAGGGGAATCTGTGAGGACTTGCTGGTGTTATTGGCTGATCATTTGAATGCAAATCGAGAGGTTTTGAAGTCGAGGCTGACGTCAGGAGGGCTTGGTTATACCTTTGCCACCACCACCACCTTGACAACAGAGTCACATCATGTTTGATTGAAGCACGTCAAGGACTACGTCGCGTGACCTGGAGATCATTTTGGACTACCACCCTTGAGAATAGTAAAAGTTTTGAGTCAGGCCTGGTTAAGTGATATTTGGCTTGATGCATGGCTGGCATGTTGCCTTAAAAAAGTTATTTTAGGGGTTTCTTTCGAATCATGTACGTTGGATACCTTTTGGATAAAGAGGGAAGCATGTATCACCAAGGAGCTGTGCGACGATCTGGCATCAGTCTTCCACCACAGAATTTTGTCTCCACATCCCAGTATTCAGATTTTACCGGATACCATCATGTGCCCAACATGGACACACACGCACAGTCATCAGGGGCATGGGGCGCTCCTTACGGCGCGCCGAGAGAGGACTGGGGCGCATACAGCCTCGGACCTCCAAACACCATTTCTGCACCTATGAGCAGTTCATCCCCGGGACCAGTTTCCTACTGCTCGCCTGATTATAATGCCATGCACGGCCCGGGATCAGTGCTGCCTCCACCACCTGAAAACATTTCTGTGGCCCAACTCTCCCCTGAGAGAGAAAGGCGTAATTCCTATCAGTGGATGAGCAAAACCGTCCAGTCGTCATCAACCGGTAAGGGCTAACAAATGTCTTTCAAATAAAAAAAAAGTAATTAAGCTATCGGAAAATATGTAAACTGTTCAATATTTCCAAGGTTCTGAAATCAGTCATTGAAAAAGTGAAAGTACAAATCTACGCTTAGGCCTATGATCTATTTTCTTGCTGCTTTAAAATAAAAATGGCATTATTATAATTTAAATCTGGTAATCAAATTTCGATGCACAGGTTCTACTAAAAATGTAAAAACATTTATAGAAAAAATAAGAACGAAAACAAAAAGAAAAAAAGAAAGTCTAAATATTTGCTTTCAATTATTTTGGTTACTAGCCTAGCTAAAATAATAGAAAAAATAATCATTTACACGAGGAGAAATTGTGCGAAATGCAACAAATATTTGTGTAACAAGTATCAATTATACATTGTTTGCTTCAACTAACTGCACATCTGACAAAATATTACGAAATGGTAGGTTTTTTTTTTTTTTTTAATACAAACTGCCCTTGTCAATTCTTTGCGAAAAACGCGTTCCGTTCCAGAAACGGATTATCTATTTAATATTAGTAGCCAATATTTGTTTCCTTAAAAATGAACGCATGGGAAATACTTGTGGCAAAATTTAGGTGTTTGGAATTGGCGCCAGGGTCACTTGTAATGCTAATTTGCGACTCCCGTAAACAAGATGTGAGGTCTACTTTTCCTGTTACATTGTCTCAGGTTTTGAGGGTTATCTGTCATATTCAGGCGGCGACTTCTTTCAACACCTTCTTCACTTTGATATGCAGCATCGCGTCTTCCTCTGTCTCTGTTCTTGAGGGTTATATTACCTCAAAGAGTGACAAACTTCACAGCAAATAAAGTTCTCCTGTCTCCGGCGCATGTTAAAACAACAGCGAAAAAATCTCAAAGAAAACAATCGCCTTACTGTAAACGCATTTTTATTTCTACAATTGAAATAAATTCATGTTTTGGAAATGACACATGAAGTTAAATTGTCATATTTTACATTAGATGTTAGACAAAGTGTTCGCAGCTAAACCTATATTATAAAAACACTAATTAATTAGCTATGTGTTCGTTCATAGTTTATTTTATCTGTACATAAAACAAGTGCAGCATGCTCGACTTGAGGAAAGGATTTTTGATGTTATCTCCTTGTAATTCGTTGTAAGACGTGTATTGTCTCTTAACACATCAATGGCGTTTGGGTAATGTCTTTGGGTCTCTTTGTTCTGCAGTTTGTTCAGAAACATCTCCTCAAAGAAGACCAGAAGCTCAATTTGAATATCTAGCGACGTAATAGTTTAGGCCTATACAATTTACTAAATATTGGATTGTGATTTATAGTTGTAACATATTAACATAGTTGCACATATTAATGATTGTAAATGGAACAAAAAAGTAGTCATTTAAGTCAATGAAAGAAATATATTTTTTTTTCTAAATTTAGCCTACATAAATTATACAATGCACAAGTTCTTCCTCTGCGTTAAAAGATTATTAATAGCTATATCATGGTCGGCGCGCATTTTACGCAGAATGCACATTTTACTTTATTTCACAATTATCAACTTTTACGACATTGTATGCATCATTTTCATGATTAGCCTATTCGTTCATTTCACTTTTTTTAGGCAAAACGAGAACGAAGGAGAAATATCGAGTGGTGTATACAGACCACCAGAGACTGGAGTTGGAGAAAGAGTTTCATTTTAATCGCTACATCACAATCAGAAGAAAATCAGAATTGGCAGTAAACCTCGGGCTTTCAGAGAGACAGGTAACATTACTTTCATTTAGATTTTCACTTATAGAATAGGATTTAGGCCACCTAACTAAACAATTCGAATTATTTCTTTACACAACCGTATGCTTTGCCTTCACAGGTAAAGATCTGGTTTCAGAACCGCAGAGCCAAGGAAAGGAAATTAATCAAAAAGAAAATGGGTCAGTCTGACGGAAGCGGAGGATCAGTCCACAGCGATCCAGGTTCTGTCAGTCCCCTACCGGTACCAGGGTCACTGAGTCCTTCAGATATCCACGGTTCTCTGTACCCACCCCAAGGAATGAACGCCTTACCATCTATGAGGAACATAGGCCTACAGCAAGTTACTGTCACTCAGTGAACTCGAACTTGGAACGTCCAACTTTAACTGAGCACTCCAACACGCTGAAAGGACAGAACCGAAGCGGGCCACTCACGTGGTCAAAAAGGATTACTTTGTAATCAACTATTGCATGACAAGCATCGAGGCGCGTGTTGTGGATTACAACAGAGAAATCACGTCTTAAATGCAACGAAATGCTGGAGGCTCTTCAAATATTGTTTTAATAGTTAGTTTTTAAAATTAAGAAATAAAAAAAACATACAAAAACCTTGTTCGTCTGATCCAGAGACTAAATATTTTAATGGTTTGTTTGTGTTTCCTCAATTAAGATATAAATATCATTTTCTGTATGTGGTGAGTGAATCTAAATGTTTGTAAATAAAATGAAAAGTAACTACAGGTACAGCGTTTCTCGGGATGTATAGTGATCCTGACTCTGGAACTGTTAGACATTTATTGTCTGTTTAAACCAAATGACCTGCGATGGCAGGCTGTTTTATGCTCCAGTTTGTGTCCAAAGCGCACGTCGTTCACTTTCTTTTCACAGGGGTGATGTGCAGGTGTCACATACCTGAAATGGGTATAACGTTTGATTCCAGCAATCTGTAAATAAAATGTTTTGCAATAAATTTGATCGTGTCGTGATATATCATTAAACGAATTCAAATATTATATGCTCATCTGGTTAAGGCACTCTTGACAGACAGCAGGCATTATATTTTAAACGTGAGACGACCATAAACTCGTTTTTTGGGCTTTAATATGGGGCGGAGCAACCTATAGAAAGGGATTTTAGGCCAAATTTATGTACGAATACCGCGTATTTATTGAAATTGGATTAGTTTTAATTGACCTTTTTTATTTCGTATGAAACATATCAAAACAACTGTTTGATTACAGTTGCGATTCCCCTGCCTTGCATTTATTGGCACATTAATGGCACATTCTGCAAATAGGCCTACATTAGCCTATGTCCCCATGCATGACTTTTCATTAGAGGCACAAATCCCTTCAATATGAGACTTTTTTTGTTCCTACAACAAACTATTACTGTTTAACATCCAATTAACCCATAGCACAAAAAATGTCTGTAAACATTAAAATAGGGATTTTGGCCAATAGGCAATATCTCAGCTCAAAGGTCTTGACCCTCTTGACAGTATCCAAAAAATAAAATCATAGGCTACTACAATGCCATTATTTTTAAAAAAATATATATATTTAATTCATATTCAGTAAATAATTGGAGTAAAAAATAGGCTATTGCATGGCAGTTAAGTGAATAAAATACACCTTTTTTTTTTTTTTTTTTACACATTTCAGTGTTGGTTGCTTTCATCAAACTCAACGATTCAACCAGTTACCCAAGAAATAAATAAAGGGTCAAATAGGCTATTTTCCTTCATTTAGGCCTGGAAATATAAATGATTACAAAACCCAAATTTGTCCACAAACTACCTACAAGAGAACAGATTGATTTAGACTAAATTTGCAATTATAAACATTCTGGTGTTTTGAAAATGTTCCCCTGGTTTCACAGACAATGCTTTAGCCTATATCAGACTAAAGTATGTTTGAGCTGTTTTAACTGAAAGTAACTTGCAGTGACATAGGCCTATCTTACATTGTCAGCGTGCCATTGTTTTGTTTTAAGATGCACATATAGGGTAAATGTTTTCTTCTAAGACACGTATAAAAGCTACTTAAATGTCCTAGAAGAACTAAGGCCTAATCCTAGTCTAAATCATGTCTGTGAAACCGGGGCGTATAGGCTAGTCTATTTAATTTAATGTTTAATGCTAGAAAACTATAAAATCGCACATATCGGTGATAAGATGTCAGTAGACAGATTGATAAGCAATTTGCATTTTGTTGGTAAACACCTCACTTACATCAGTATTTGTAAAAAAAAAAAAAAAAAAAAATGATCTAGTTATGTTCAGGTCAGGAGGACCTTATTTTGTACCATATTCGTGTAGTAGACCTACTGGGCACCGCGTGCGCTGCGATGACGCTGCCTGAACAGCACCAGTTTGATGATGTCATCGGCGCTATGCCAGAGACGTCATGAGCGTCCTACTGCCCAACATGGCGGACTTTGATACCATTTATGAGTTAGAAGAAGAAGATGAGAGAATTGTGAGTGAAGAACATCTCGTCAGATACTGTCCCGAGCCTGTGGTTATGCGCGGGGCTGGTCACATCACCGTGTAAGCGTATGAATGCGACAACAGTGCTGTTGTTCACTGTTAGGTCATGTCTGTTTGTGTAGCCTCCATGCTAAGCTCATTGCATGTTTTTGTCGCCAAGTTGTGGAATCAAAATACACGTAGGCCGTGCTTCTCCAGCTGTATCCTGACAGTGATTTTAAGCGGAAGAATCATCCCTAGTTACCCGAAGTCTTGTTGTTAGCTCAGAGATTTATGGTTTTATTGCTGTCCGTGGATAAAGGCTGCCCCGTAACCACACTCAAACTCATTAGGATCTTCGTTTTAATTTCATGTTGTGTGTAACTGTACAGTACATATGCTGAGGTAACTTAGATATAATACTTTAATTAAATCACTTTAGTGGAACAGCACAAGTACCTCGTCCTCTGCAACTGTCAGTTATGCGCAATTTCAGAAGTCTGACCACTTTAGAGCAAGGTTTGAGGTAATGAATTAATTAATGAGATAAACAACAGGATATCTACACGAAACAGCAGTGCAGCACAGCCTACTACTGCACTGGATTATAAACAGACATAACCCAATACAGTTATACAGCTTTTAGGATCCTTGGCAATTCAAGTCAAATGTAGAAACTGAACTTTTCTCACTCTGTTGTGTCTATGTGCTGCTTATCAAGTCTTTAATAGGTCTAATTCAACTGAACCCAACGTTAATCCAGCTATTTTTTTTCTTACTGTCACAGAGTCTTTGTATGGAGCTTTGGTGAAGCATAATTATTAGTCATGAAAAGGAATAATTGTGACATACCAAGTCATAATTATGAGATAAAAAGTCTAAATTATGACATACTAAATGGAAATTATGAGATAAAGAACATGACATCAAATGTTGATTTTTTTTGTTATTGACATTTGTCAATTGATGTCAATTTCAACTTTTTGTAAATCCTAGTATGTCATATTTTCAATTAAATAAATAATTGTGACTTTTTGTCATAATTTCAATTTCAGCATCTCATAATTATGACACAGTATGTCATAATGTTGACTTATTTTTATTTTATTTCATAATCATGACTTTATCTCATTAATGATTTACCAAAGCTTGCTATTTTTTCTTATGGGGCAGAAATTGGCTTCTGTACTTTTGCACCATATTATATAACCTTTTAAAAATCTGTGTTTGCAGGTTTGGACTAAGCAACAAGTTTGAGACAGAGTTTCCTTCTGTTCTCACAGGAAAGGTAAGGATTTCTAACTCGCATCTACAAAGTAAATCATACTGATTGGTGTGAATAAAATATATTTCCCTGTTGACCTTTCCCCTTACACCATTATTCACCATGGTATAAGCTTTTGATTAATACAGAATCCCCTGATGAAGTCTCTTAAATGCTGCGTGTTTGCCACAGAATCTGTCAATAAGTAAACCGTCCAGGGCTCCAGTAGGCAGGGATCGCAGCGCTGGGAGGACACAGCTCCCAGTGACAAAATAATGAAAGAAAGACTGTGCCGTTCACAAGAATGGGAAGCTTCCTGGGTCGGACGCAGAAATACAAAAAGGCTGCAGGGGGAAGAGCAGGCCGAGGGAAGTGCGGGGCAATAAAACGGAGCTCCAGTATTGTGACCCAGGGTGACATGTGATGGATGAGGTCAGGATTATGATGACTGAAGGGTGCAGATCAGGCCTGCTGGGCTTTATTCCGAGTTCTTTTGCTGTTTGCAAAGAGACCTTTGCATCCTGTCATAAAAGATTACGACCCCGGTTTTATGGCGTACATACCCAGAGAGGAATGAGCAGCCATTCAGGTTGTTTAGACTGCACAGCCACAGGCCACGGGCTTATCTCATCTTTTTGTCCTCCCTTTGCCCTGAGAGTGTCAGAGCTCAGTTGGCAAGTTACAAGCGTGCAATTGCAAGATCACCGGAGAGCATCTGCAAACATGGATGTTTTTCTTTAAAAAAAATTCCAATGACTTTTTATGGAATTCCTTTTATTTCTTCTCAGATTTCTTAAATGAATATTTAGTTTTTATTGTACCATTTATATTGTATGAAATTATATTTGGAACATTTTATTTATTACTGACAATAAACACTTCCTGACATATACTACAATCTCTTTTTGTTTCTCACCCATTTACTCTAGGTTGCTCCAGAGGAGTTCAAGACGAGTGTCAATCGAGTAAACGCATGCTTGAAGAAGAACCTTCCGGTCAATGTGAAATGGCTGCTCTGCGGCTGCCTGTGCTGTTGCTGTACGGTGGGCTGCAGTCTGTGGCCTGTCATATGTCTCAACAAGAGAGTGAGTCCTTCCTCAGACATGTCCCGTCCTTCCCCCATTAATCCATGTCAATTACTTATTGCCCATTTGAACACCTAAGAAATAAATAAACCTACTCATTGAGGAGGCAAGAAACAACTACATCAGTTTATTAACTGAGTGTGAATTTGATATATGTCAGAAGGCATGGCTGCTTGAATTATATGCTTGGGAAGGGTGATGATTTTACAGCTACAAATTTTAAGTTATTGGCCATGATGTGCAGCTTACAAGGTGCTTAACTACGAGCTTCGGTCCATAAATGCCTCTGAAGTCTTCATGCCCTGAGAGTTTTATTGGCATTTGTTAAACATGTGTTTGACAGGTATTTAGCATAAAACCCTGTGTGTGTGTGTCTATTTTTGTTTGTGTATAATGATTTGTTTATTTGTGTTTGTGTGTTTTCAGACGCGGAGATCCATTCAGAAATTGTTAGAATGGGAAAACAACAGATTATATCACAAGGTAAGCTCATTGCAGAACTCATAAAGATAAGAACAGCAGACCATCTCCAATTTAGCTGCCATGTTAAGATGTGTTTAAGTCTTGGTGTGTGGTGGATAACAATCATTAAAATGGCTGCTAACATTTGACCCTGTCAAATGCTTGTTGCCCTTGCAGTCATTTTGGTCTGATGCATTGATATAGTGTAGAGGCTGACCAGACTATGGAAAGGTCAGCAGTAAAAAGCCACGTTCGTTTTGTTGTGTCTCGAAGCTTTGATTGGCAGCCAGTAGCGGCACAGACACGTTAAGGAAACTCCTCTAAGCACTGGCCACCGCTTGACCTCCGCTAACCCTTGTGTGTAAAGTGTGTCTGAGCATCCGAAGTGCTTGAGTCTATGTTGAATATCTACTACCACACACGGCTTTATCTAACCGGTATCTTCCTGCGTCTCGCCTTCAGCTGGGGCTGCACTGGAAACTCAGCAGGAGAAAATGTGAGAGCAACAACATGATGGAATATGTAAGTTCATGTTTTTTTGTTTTTTTTTGATAACAGTTATTAAAAGGAAATAAAGATTCAGTTTTATTTTCATTTCAGGGCTCTAGGCTGCTACCAAAATGAAACGTGATACAATAATTTAAAATCTAGTTGCCATTGGATACTGTCAGGAAAACTTTGTGTGTGTCAAATATTGACTCATTAGAGTGCGTCAGTGTTATCATGCACTCAGTGAAAATGTTTCAGCCTCAGAGCTGCTTGTCAGTTTGTGAAAAGAATCCTAATCATAGTTTTATTTCAATCAATTCTAAAAATACTCTTGGTTATGTTTTGAAATATGAGATCCAATTTTAAGGTTGAATCAGCTGTAAGGGAACATTTGTTTTAGTGACTGTAATCAACTAAATCTACTGTATATATTTTTTGGGGGGGTTAAACAGGCACAAATATACTTTCAGAACTGTGATATTTTATGGCACAAACACAATCCTGTTCATTAGAGTGACGGCATCAAATTGTAACTAAATACATGTACTAAATAAAAAATAAAAAACTAGTTTACGCTACCATGCAAACGTTTTTTAAAGAATTCTCAGCAACCAAGCTCTTATGTTCAGCAGTCATTTCTTCAGTCACATGATTCTTCTGAAATTCTAATATGCTGATTCGGTGCTCAAAAAAAAAAAATCTTATTATCAATGTTGGAAACAGTTGAGCTGCCTAATATTGTTGTGGAAACTGTCATATATATTTTAGGATTGTTTGATGAATAGAAAGTTCAAAATAATTTTTTTTTCTTTACTGTCACTTCTAATCAATTTAATGCATCCTTGATAAATAAAAATATTAATTTCTTTTAAAATATCTTACTGACCCAAACATTTTGAATGTTATATAGTGTATATAATTCACTATTATAGTGATTTATATAAGTGTCATAATCACAGCAGTGACTGCTGTCAAAAGCTAAAGTAGGAAGCTCTGCACATAGTGAACTGAAGCCCTTCTGAACAAACATCATTCATATATAAATATTATTATTTATTTATTTTTTGTCTCGAGACCTACAGACCATAAGGTTGTAAATCATGTGGCTGGTGATTATTATTAGGTGTTCTTTCTTAACTATGTCTTTTTATGTCTACAGGTTATTCTTATAGAGTTTGTACCAAAATATCCTATATTCAGACCTGACTAAAGGACTTCTGCTGGATCCTCGTGGAAGGCCCTTCATTCCTCTCCTTAGTGCCTTGTATATATGTCGTATTGAGGGTCTTCACTGGGTTTCTACAAAGACCCATTTTCCCAGTACCTTGTACAGTAGAATTCGCAACACTGTCACTTTGCTTTAGAGCAGATTTTGCACATTTCCTGATGTAGTAGAAGCGCTCCAGTGTTGCACTCAGACGTTTTGTTATATATATATAACAAGAGTGATTGGAAGAAAGCAAACTCTGATACGGTTTAAAAGTGCATTTACCCCAAAGAGCTATCAAGTCCTCCCCACATACTATATTATGGTATTGTTGTTAAGAACAAGGCACCTTAAGGTGTGAATTTGCCTTATGTTTACGGTCAACCGTTTTTAAATCAGACGTGTAAGTGCAGGAGTCAGAAGTGTGTCGTGTGTTATTGTTTTCAGTGTAATGACTAGCATTGGGGCTTTTTGAAGCTAGTGCAGCAGACATATGAACTAGCTTAGAGTAACAGTCAGCACCTTGATCTTCTGGCACTTTTGCGATTGTCTACTACACGGGGAGTCAAAAAGCTGACTTGTAAATACCATGGACAAGATGTACAGTGTAGTATGCCATGTTTACATTATGTAATTTTTGCTGGTTATTAGTTTTTTGCCAAGATATTATTGTAGCATAGTTTGTTTATAAGCTGTCTCTGTAACTTTACAGTTGATATGGTCCTGTTACCCAGTAAGCCATAAAATATATGTACAAGATGCCACTCGAGTTAGAGCTGAAAATTGCACTTGAGCACACAAGGACAACCATATTGTCCTGGAGGTTTTTGATATTGTTTACAATGTCATTGTGGTGTGTTTAAAAACAACAACATTTGCCAATCAATGAAAATTTGTTACCAAGAACAATGTGTCATTCTTTTCACACAAAGTGAAATTCAAGTTTTTGTTGGAACATTATTTGTACCCTGTATTTTTTCCTTTGTTTTGTTTCTGTTGTTTCAGTTCCTCTTCATCTGGGAGTGTCTGTTCATGGATGCTGTATGCTGTTGTTACGCTCTTCAGTTCACTACAGACGCAGCATTGTAAATGTAGTGGTTAAAACTGCCCCCATGTGTTTTCTATACCTGCACGACTTCTTTGCTCCATATACTGTAGACATGACTGCATTAGTCGAGTGCCTCTGTAGATGGTTTTAAGAGGAATGATTATTTGCCTAGCAATCTAATGGAGAGAAAGGAATCTGCTCTTAGTGCTGGTTCTGTTAAAGTATCTGTAAATGTTTGTCCCTACCAACTCTTATGGAAAGCTTCAATAAATTCCTGATTTTGATGTTTTTGAACATTCTCTATATGCATATGTATACTGTTGCCATATTTACAAATAATAAAATAAGGGAAAACAACACACACACGACCAACAATTTACTTTTTCCACATAATTTTAACCTCCAGTAACAGAATACGGAAAATGAATGGCCACTATATATACATAAAAATGTGTGTGTGCGCGCGCAAGATCTTGTTGATAATTTAATAATTAAATATATTTGTTTATTAATAATAATTAAATAATTTAAACTATTGCTGGTAATTCTTTTTATATTCTTGCAAAACAAAAAAGGTTTTTATTTTTAAGGCTTAATTACTTCGATTACTTTTACTGTCGTTCTAATAGACATAAAATAAAACTTAACTGACTCACAGCACAGATCCTGAACCAAAAGTACAACAAAAAGCTGTAGAAAATCTTTATAGCTTTTAAGTATTACATCAGAGATGAAAGAATTCTCACATATTCATTGATACATGAAATTTAAAGATGTGATATATTACTATATGTTCAAAGATAGAAATGACCCATTGGTTTACATACATCAGGGGTGTAAAGAGGTGAGTGTGAAGAACAAACTTAACTCAGCATGAATGATTCAGATACAAACGGCTGTCCACTGTCACTGGTGTTTTATGTATTTTAAGGTTCTAAATCTAAGGTATTAATTGAACAACAAATTTGCAAGAATATTAAAAGCTTGGGCTTTATATGGCCTCTAGGGGGCAGGCTAAGACACAAAGAAGAATGTGGACCAGTCTAAATGAAAGAAATGTTCACATTTGGTCTAAAATAATATCTAGGAATGTCTTCTGCATTTGGAAAATGTACATTTTTAGCCATTAATATTATTATTTGGTTATGATCTGCTCTGAGATATGTAATCTTAAATCCAATCAAGTTAAACCAACATGTTCTTTTGTGTCACAGATGGAGTTCACATTCTCAGCAGGTGCTTGGTGACTTCTGCACATCTTCAAACAGACCATCAGTTTATCATCATGACGACAATATAATATCTCACATCAAATTCAACAATGAACACCTCACACACATCATTCATGTTATTCTTTCACAGTTGGCAACCTATTGCATTCATTTAGCCTGTCAGCAGGATTTAAAACTATTTAATCCTTGGTTCATAGTTCAAGGCTTAAATTCAAACTGTGCATGGCTGATTTATATCCTCCACAGGTCCCTTGTGTGACTGCACGTCGTTCGCTCGCCCGCCCTTCAAACTGCTCAGATCGTGTGATCCTCAACAGGGCAAAACCACTGTTATCGCCTGAGAATCCCAGAGGGACTATAATGAATGATTTGGAAGATGAGTAAAATATGGGTGTTTAGCATTAACTCTTGAATAACAGAATAAAATCTACACAGTATAAAACCAAACAGGGTTAAAATGTACTGTAGGTCTGGCAGATGCACTGTAGAATTAGCCTCAGCAGATGGTATGCACATTTATATGAAATATTTGGAGATCTAAAAGTGCTAATAAAATAACAGAATACAGTTGGAATCTATTAGGGCTATTATGGATCAGTAAGAAGATTGAAAACAGCCACTGCTTAGAACAATGACGTAATAAAATAAAACAAAATATTTTATTCTGTCATTTTTATAACCCTTTCACATTGCTTTGCTAGTCCAAAGAACATAATTGAAATTCACTAAAATGCATTAAAAAGTAAAAGGGTTAAATGTACAGATATCAGATGAAAAAAAAACAAAGCATTCAAATAAACATTCTTCAGATGATGAAAGGCCAAAGATAACGAATGGCATTTTTGGTATACAGGCAATTAAGGCAGGTGTAGATAAGTGTGTTTGTACACATTTATATCCAAGGCACCTAAGAGATACATTCTTTAAAAAAAAATGTCAAACGAGCCAAGCTGTGGTTTTAAAAAACAGTCCATACTAATCACCCCAACAGCAACTACATAGTTTTACACAAGTGTAACTATTCTCACAACTTATAACAACACAGTAAAAAGTGCCGTTAGAGCGGCCATCAACATAAGACTGTGATATGGTCCAACTCCAGGTAGTCAAAATAATTACTCATATTTATTACCTTACTACTGACCACTTGATGTCAATCATAAACCATCTTAAAGATTATTACTGGTTATATATGGAAACTAGAAGTCTTGAAGTTCCATACTAAAATATACCCAAGCAAAGGGCATGATAAATATCCCAATTAAAACTTATTTTTAAACAGTAAGTCAAGCTTGTCCAGTATCCTTAAGTGCGGTTCACACTTCTTTCACCATCACAGCTCAACAGAAATCTTTGTGAAACACTAAATGCCTACAGTGGATTAAATATCAACCTTTCAGCTTGTTTTTAAATCTAGGTCAATGATTGTTAACACACTTCCCCAATATGCCACCCTGTTCTTAAGAGAGGAGTCAAAACATCCCTTCTCCAATATTAGACTTGTGCATGTATCTTGTGGTAGACCCAGTAACAGCAATAGAGTTCCGGCTAGTCTTTAAACCAGGCTGCCAGGCCAGGAGACCACGGTCAATGTGACTTTGTTCTTCTGCAGTTTCAGCATTGGGATCAATGAGGAGTTATTCATGCCAACTGTAGTGAGTCCATTCACAGCCACAATCTCATCACCACACCTGAAGGAGAGCATGAAAGAGTCTCAGTAAACAAAGCATTTTATTTTGCACACAAGAATGTCTTTCATAATAACTTGTCAATAAACAACAATTAAATTACTTTAAAAAAAAAAAATCTCCAAAAATTAATTGAATCTACACTACCTTTTAAAAGTTTGGGTCTGTATTTTTTTTTTTTTAAGAAGACTCTTATGCTCACCCAGGATGCATTTATTTAATCAACAATAAAGTAAAAACAGTAATATTGTCAAATATTATTACAATAATTTTTTTTTACTTTTTTTATTATATTTCCACATGTAATTTATTCCTGTGATGGCAAGGATCCATTTTTCATTACTCCAGTCACATGATCCTTCATAAATCATTCTAATATAGTGATTTGGTGCTCAAGTAACAATTTTATTATTATTATTGTTGAAATCAGTTGAGCTGCTTCATATTTTTTGTGAAAACCATGATACATTTATTTAGGATTGCTTGGTGAATAGAAAACAACAATACATCCTTGCTAAATAATAAGTATTAATTTCTTTCAAAAACAAAAAAATAAAACTGTACAAATGTTGTTAAAAAGAGGATGGGAGACTCACTTGAGCCGTCCATCAAAGTGAGCTGGAGTTCCAGGCACTATGGTCTTAATGAAGAAGGGCTGCTGGCCATGACTCTCCTCATATCCTCCCACGATACTGAAGCCCCAGCTCTCACTGTTGGTCTTCATTAGCATAATGTCACGACACCAGTGGATGTAGCTTGGATTAAAAGAAATGGTCAAATTATGAATTTTCCCCCATGTTTAAGCCCATACAGCCATTAACTAAGATAAAAATGACAAAAGAGGAAATCAAATTGAATATTGCACTTAATCAGCATATGTAATGAGCAAAAATAAATAAATTAAGGCCCACCCTAGGGATGCACAGATACCACTTTTTCCCGAATGAGTCCATATGAATCATACTAGTTGGCTTAATTATTATAGCAAATAGATGTTTCCTTCAGTTACTTTCATGCTTTTTCATGCCCAACACCTATGAAGAGACTTAGTGTGCTTCACTTATGAGCTCGTATACAGCAACTATACAGGCGTAAATATTGACTTTAAGCTCAATATTCTATTAATTGGATACATTTACTTCATAGATGTCTTTAATCTCTGTTTGTTCTGTTGTCGCAAACACTAACACTGTACAGTTTTTGGTATCGGAGCATTTAATGATACCGACCCACATCCATAGCCCACCCACCTGGGAAGACCCAGCCAGCGCGTCCAGAGAGGAACCCAGTTAATGTCGTCCTCTTTGTGTCCCTCCAGTGTTTCCATGTCTTCTCTAGTGCTGGATTCTCCATCTTGCTCCTCCTCGTCAGTGAAGGTTTGGATGACTCGCAGTGTTACTGTGTTCTGAGCCGTCTGAGCTTTTAGGACGGTCACCGCCTCATTGTAGGTCAGTTGGGTCAGGTCAATGCCATTTATACTCAGCAGTACATCACCTGAGCATGAGTAACCATGGAAACACACAGTTAACACAAGCATTGTGCAAGACTCAGAGAAATAAGCATTTATAAGGAGGCATGAAGTGAATGACCTGTTTTGACGGTGCCGTCTCTGTGCAGGCATCCCACCGGCTGCACACTAGTGATGTAGACGGGCAAACGGCTGCGGCAGTCTCTGCCACCTGCGATGGTGATGCCTAGAGAGAGTCGAGGCTCCTTCTTTAGATTCACAGTCTTCTCTTGACTGGAGAAGCCACCTGGAGGCTCCTGAACCCACATAATGCACATTAAGACAGACACTCGCACAATACAAAAATAGTAAAAACAAATGTGTTAGTGTGGCTTTGTACAATTCTTCCCTGTAGCTGAATAAATTAATAAATAAATATAAATGTACAGTACATGCAATTTAAAAGTTTATTCAGAAATACAGTAAAACTGTATGAATGTTGTTAAATATTGTTACAATTTTAGAAATAACTTTCAGTCAAAATAACTATTTTAGTATATTTTAAAATGTAATTTATTCCTGTAATGGCAAAGCTGAATTTTCATTATCATTACTCCAGTCTTCAGTGTCACATGACCCTTCAGAAATTATTCAAATATGCTGATTTGCTACACAAGAAACATTTCTTATAATTATTATTGTTAATGAAAACAGTTGTGCAGTTTAATAGTTTTGAGGAAACAGTGATACATTTATTTATATTATTGAACTTTCATTTTAAATATTTTTTTGTAATAATGTAAATGTTTTACTGTCACTTTTGATCAATTTAATGATTTTTGTGGAATAAAAGTACTAATTTCTTAAAATAAAAAAATAATTAAAAAGAATAATTATATACCCCAAACTTTTGAACAGAAGTGTATATACAGTAATCGGACTATGATTGGCCTTGCATTGTGAGCATGCTCTAAAGGACAGAATTAATGTTTTAATCCTTCAAATATTTTATCAAATATTGTGTTGTGTATACTTTGACAAGCAGATGAAGTTCGCAGTAGCTTGATTATAACTGTGTATAATAGCAACTGAGTATTCCATACATTTCTGTACTTGGGGGTTGGGTGAAAAGTGAAAGTTTAAGACATGTGACTGAGTCCTGTGGTGAAAACATTTGTAAAAACAAACATCCAAGATCCTGCTGCGAAGCAGAGAGATGTGTTAATGTGACGCGTTGCCATCGTAACTCATAGATTGTGGCAAAACGCTCTCCTTCAGCCATCTTCTCACTGGAGTCCCCAGACCTCCATAGGGGGAGGGGTAGCCTCTTCCTACCCAGCAGGGAGGCTCTTCCTCCCAGCATGAGCTCAAGCTTCAACTCCACAGGTGAAAGCTAACTGTCACCAGCTTTGATCCCCAGCTACAAACAAACACAGTGGTTGCAGCAGTTTAGAGAGCAGCACCCTGGGCCTTTTGATCAGGGACGAGTCCTAGAGAGAGAGAGAGAGAGAGAGAGAGAGAGGGCATCTGCTTTCATCTCCCACTACCCAGCCTGTGTTTGCTGCCTCTGCCTTCAGCTGGTGAGGAAGTGTCACAAAAGCAGGGTGTGACTAGTCTCTGGGCGAAAAGTCACCTCGCACACACACACACACGCAGACTTTGACAATAGTAGCACAAGCATTCAACACATTCTGCATGTAACCATTTTGAAAATAAGTATGTGAAACTAGATCTACAAATACAATTATTTTTTAATGCTCTTTATAATTCTGGGTATCGTATAATAACATCAAAGTATAATAAAGTACCCCATAGTATGCGAAACATTGCAATACATATCATGAATTATGATATCTCCATGCATTGCATTGTATTCAATTGTGACATTCACTGTAAAATGTATGAGACAGGTTTGTTCTGTCTCTCTGACATGCTGAATCTATGTCAGATTTCAATCTCTCTTGTATGGTTTGCTTTAATTTTTTAGATGCAACACTGGACAAAATTATTTAAGTGTAGAATTTTATTATGTGTGTATATATAAATATATATATATATATATAAAAAAAAAAAATATATATATATATATATATATATATATATATACACATTACCGTTCAACAGTTTGGGTTCAGTAAGATTTTGTTGTTGTTGAAAGATTCAAAAAATGTATTCAGAATGTATTCATTAAATTAAACAAAATAGACAGTAAAGGTTTTTACATTGATACAAAAAATTATATTTCAAATAAAGGCTGTTCTTTTGAACTTTCTATTCAAAGAATCCTGAAAAAGAAAATGTAGTACGGTTTCCACAAAATAAGCAGCACAACTGTTTTCAACATCTATAATAATAAGAAATGTTTCTTGAGCACAAAATCAGCCAATTAGAATGATTTCTGAAGGATCATGTGACACTGAAGACTGGAGTAATGATGCTGAAAAATCAGCTTTGCCATCACAGGAATAAATTACATTTGAAAATATATCCAAAAAGAAAAGTTATTTTGAATTGTAATAATATTTCACAATAGTATTGTTCTTATTTACTGTATTTCTGATCAAATAAAATGTAGTCTTGGTGAGCATGAGAGACTTCTTTCAAAAACATTTAAAAATATTACTAACAAATCTAATAAAAATATAATACAAAAAAATAGAGTGGAGGCAGGACAGAAAATAATAGGAAGTGAAAAGGGGAATGGGATTGGGAGCGAGTAAAACTCAAACTTGCATCACCTAAATAAGCTTAACGCTAGGCCACAGCTTAGACTAGTAGTGCCTTTTAACTTGTGATCATTTGCACTTTTTACCTTCATGTATTCGGAGCGTCGTTTGAAGTACTGCGGTTCGGGGACTCTCCTGGCCCCTCGGCTCTGCCCCTCACCACCCTCCTCGGAGAGATCAGGAAGTCTCATTACTACGAAGTTCACGCGCATTTCACTTGCCTGCCACATACACAGAGAGCACAACAATCCCTTACATTTACTATAAAACCTGAAATCCTATATTTAAACCTAGTGTTTAAAAGTAACCTCATTATTAGTAGCATTAGATTGAGAAATCCACTTTTTCTTTCTAAAGTGATTCTGTCACTCTCTGTACCTGTATGATCTGAGCTGCACTCTCCGGGGTGCCATGTCTCAGGTCCTGTCCGTTGATGCCTAGCACTTTGTCATTGTTCCTCAGTTTTCCATCTTTGGCAGCCAGTCCTCCAGGCAGCAGGTCCAGGATGAAGACTCCTGGCTCCTCAGACTTACGGATGAGTTTGATTCCTAACGGCTCAGAGCGCTCACGCTTTACCAGGGTGACCTGGATGACAGTGCCGTGGTTCTGGTTGGGATTGGGAGAGTGCGATGGGGGAGAAGCTGAGGGCTGAGCAAGATGTTCGGGCCGGGGCTTGAAGCCCTTCTCCTGCATGACAGTTAGCCTGAGGCGGGAACATGACTGCCGAAGCACAGCAATGGCACGACTGTGGGGAATGGATGCCAAACTGACATCATTTGCCTGCAAAGATCACACTGTTAGTTTGAGTGTAACAGAAGTAACGGCAGATCATTTCTTCCACATTGTGATGTAAATGCGAGCTTGACGTCAATTGTACGAAAGGGGTGGGATTTATGCAGTCTGATTATTTATGATTGTCTGAGAAGTCTGGAGTATGCCACTAGACTAGAGACAGGGTCTGTCATTTCACCAGAAGATCCAGTTACTGCATTTTCATTAAAAAGATTACAAGCTCAAAAAAAAGAGAGAAAAGAAACATATGTATAGATTATTGTTTACAATAACATTAATTACATATATTTAGAAATTAGATAGGATGATTTCTCATTTCCTGACGACTCTAAATACACTATTTTAAGCTATTTTCTCTCACGTGCTTGACCCTCACTTTTAAACACTCTGTTTTGATAGGTGTGCCAGATTCAAGACTTGGAACACCCTCTGCTATGATTGGGTAATAGTTTTGAATATTAAAATATTTTGCAACGTCCCCGCCATTGCACGTGTGGAATTATTTTGAAAACTTCCGATGTTGAAAAATATCTTGTCATATAGTTGAAACATTTTCCAACAATGTGAAACATTATGCATATTACATAAACTTTATTTGCCTTTATTTACTTGTATTTGTACTTGGAGTTACCACAGTTATAGTTGACAGGATAACTTACAGCGTTTTGTGTAAACAGATCTATGATTTACTGATTGTACCATCTTTTGTCGCACTGTCATTAAATAAAATGAACACGTGTTGTACTGTCTTACTGATGACAAAACAAGATGTCGCTCACTGAAGATTTTATTCAGGATTACAGCAAATGGCTTTGATCAAAACAATAACAAAAGCAGTGCTCGCTACGTGTTTTCTTCCATATCCGGTGTTATACCGAATTATGTGACCGTAAACAATAGTAGTGATGGAAGGGTTAGGATTGGGATTAGGATTAATTTAATACAGCACCTACTAGGGTCACATAATTTGGCACAACACCGGGAACCCCCAGCATTAAATGCAGAAGCAAAGGAAAGAACATCAAATCACAACTATTCACAGTTTGACTGCCGCTACAGATCTTTGTCTGTTACAGATCATTTGATATGTATTGAGTATTTATACAAATACTCAGTACATATCAAACAATCTGTAACAGACAAAGCAATAGTGACACATGGCAAAAAATATTCTTACTCACACTAGTGTGTTGTGACATTGCTGTCGAATCCAATACAGTAGTCAATGCCTAATCTTTTATTTTCAGGTTCTCTAAAAAGCCTTCAAACGAATCCGCAGTAAAAAGAACCAAACAAACCTACGTTTATTAATGACGCGATCTGGAGTGCAGTCTGTCGTCATACTATTCCGTCATAACGTGACAAAATCTAAAACGAGTTGTGAAGTGATAAAACTGATACTGTGAAGCAGCTTTGATACAATCTGTATTGTGAAAAGCGCTATATAAATATATTTGACTTGACTTGTTTTGGCAGCTTAAGGATTAGTTCACATCAAAATGAAAATTTCCTGATAATTTACTCACCCCAATGCCATCCAAGATGTTCATGTCTTTCTTTCTTCAGTGGAACAGAAAAATAAGTTTTTGGAGGAAAACATTTCAGGATTTCTCTCCACACAATGGACTTCAACGGTAACCAAATTGTTGAAGTCCAAATCATTGCAGTTTCAAAGGCTTTGAAGAGCTTCAAAGGGCTCTGTACGATCCCAGCTGAGGAATAGGGTCTTATCTAGCGAAACGATAGGTGATTTTCTAAAAAAAAATTAAAATGTATATACTTTTAAACCACAATTGTTCGTCTTGTGCTGGTCTGCGACGCGCCAGGCATTACGTAATCACGTTGGAAAGGTCACACTCGACGTAGGCGGAAGTACCGCCCCATTGTTGACAAGTGTGGAGACGGAGGATCATTAAAATTTTATTGTATGTTGAATGACATATTTATGTCTTTGGGTCAGTTTATTGTTTAAAATGTTCCTTTCGTGCGAGTATCCTGGATGTTTAAAACAATGGGGCGGTACTTCTGCCTACATCCAGCGTGACCTTTCCAACGTGATTGCGTAATGCTTGGCGCGTCGCAGACCAGCACAAGACGAACAATTGTGGCTAAAAAGTATATACATTTTTATTTTTGGGGGGGAAAATCACCTATCGTTTCGCTAGATAAGACCCTATTCCTCAGCTGGGATCGTACAGAGCCCTTTGAAGCTCTTCAAAGCCTTTGAAACTGCATTGATTTGGACTTCAACAATTTGGTTACCGTTGAAGTCCATTGTGTGGAGGAAAAAATCCTGAAATATTATCCTCCAAAAACTTAATTTCTTTTCCACTGAAAAAAGAAAGACATGAACATCTTGGATGGCATTGGGGTAAGTAAATTATCAGGAAATTTTCATTTTGAGGTGAACTAATCTTTTAGTTTCAATAGTTTTTGGACTAACAAGGAAGTTTTGAGTTTTGAAACTTCCAGGATATGTACAATGACCAAATGTCAAAAGATGAATGAAAATTGTATTTCTTAATGACCCCTTTAAGATCCAACAAGTACATTTTATTCGCTTTATTATGTGCTATATAAATATTTATATCACGTAGTATCTTGGGACAGTGCAATATTTTTTTTTAACGTGGAGCAATCTTTAATCGTAATTTTAAAATAACAATTGTTAGTGTGGGGGGTTGCTTGACATGGGTTTAAGTTGCCCTTCGCTGAATGTATTTTTTAAGGTCTTGATTGTATTTCTTAAAGTCTATTTATTGTGTGTAGTGTGTTGTGTGTAGCTTGCTAGCTGGTTTTCTATGATAATTTTATGCTGACTCAACGAGCTCTGCTACAAAAATTCCTATGTACCTGTATAGCTGTACCGGTAAAAATGGCAAATAAAACTTATATCTATCTATATCTTTAAAGAGCTTCATATTAATAGATCCTAAAATAATGCTGTTTTTTTACGCTTCTGCTTATGACAAAAAAAGCCTTCCTGCCTAAGGCTTGGAACAGCCCTTTGCGATAATCAATGCCGTGTTGAACCAGAAGGGGAAAAGAGAGATTCCATTTCAAGAAATAAGATATGCAAGTCATCCACAGATCTCTTTACAAGCCATAGCTCCCTAAAAAAAAAAAGTCAAAGGAGCTCCGCTTGAGATACAGATCATCCTAGGGCTGTCAGTTGGCCTAATTTAAATTTCCATATATATATGATCTCAGAGAAGACAAGATGAGCTGGAGGCATTCATTCAAACTCAAGGTTGAATTTGAATGCGTCATGCTGGTTTCCTTTACTAAGGCATTGCATTCCCGGACTACCAGGGGAAGAAATCCAAGGAGAGCGTAGGATTGTGGGAACAAGAATGTAAATTTGCTGAACTGAATTGTAATTGAGAAGCAATACTGTGTAACTTAGCTTTTTAAAGGTGGCTTCAGTAGTTTGGTTTTAAATTAAAAAGTCTTACAAAAACAAATGCATTGCGTTTTTGTAAAGTCATCTGAATGGTGTAAAATTACATGAGATGAAGACTGCATTCAATAGTTTTCTATAAAATTCTTTTTTGTTTAATGCGGGTCACGTCGCTATGTCAAAATGACATGAAATGGTGTTTCACTAAATGTCGGAGAGAATCCGTGTGCTCATACTAACTATTTTGATACACTTCCTATGACAGAATTTGCGAATTGCGAACGGTTACATTTTAACATAGTCAATCATGTGCCAGCCAGTAAAAAAAAAAAAAAGATCCCGCTTTCCAGACATTTGGGAAAGAAAGCAGGGTCTGGTGACCTTTATCCAGGGATGTGACTGCAATGTAAACAGAATGACACTGGGGTATGTACACTGACAACATGAGAACTGGATGGAACGACCTGAGGACAACATCTAATGGGTTTAATTCCATAGATATTGATAACCTAAATGGTGTGGCGAGCTGAGATATGCCTCACCTCTAGAATATGATCTCCAGGAGCCAGCTTGCCATCTCGAGCAGCCAGTGAATCACGCACAATCTCCTGAATGACGATGTTGCCCAAGGGTGTGTCCTTCCCTCCCACTATACGCAATCCCAAATCCTCTTCTGTATCCTCTCGTAACAGCTCCACCACAGTTGCCTCTGCCACAAGACTGGACCTCAGGGGGGTGTCTGGGAAACCAACAGACCATCAAGAACCCGATTTAGTGAACAGATGCTTACAACTACTAAGTATTGCAACATATAGCAGTCACTCATGCAGTTTGTTTATGACTGCTTTGGAATGAGTCATTTATCTAAGGAAGCACACAAATTAATGATGTAATATTCCCATGAGATGATGAGATAGTTGCTAGGTAACTTTATGACTAACAGAATTTCCATTAATTCAGAAGACAGGTCCAGACTCCCTCCAGGTGTTTTAGAGCTTTAGGCAGATAAAAGTTGGAGTGAATCTCCATGAGTATACATGTTCTCAGACAGTGACAATTGTTGGTTTTAATGCCATAAAGTATTTCACTGGAATATTAATAACATCCTGACACTCCTCAGCCATCTACTCAAGATAAAGGCCCACATGAAAGATACCCTCTGTTTTGGTTTACCCAAAAGCAAACACAGCTGCAAATCAATTTCCTCTGCTTTTCACCGTCAGTGCTACACTCTTCTCACCTTTCCTTCTGAGCTACCACAAATCAAAAAACTACCGTAAAAAAAACCCCCACCAAGAATGAGCTTTATTCTTTTTTTTTACATCTAATCCTTACCAGATGGTGTACAGAACAGAGAAAACAGAGATATTATACAAATATTATTTATGTAGAGCTACAGCAAGCAATATTACATTTCTAGCCGTTGCAGATAAGCCAATATTTATTTCCATGTGATAACGGATAAATGGATAGCTGACATCACATTTCTATCAAATGCTTTAAGGTGCTATATAAAATTAAAAGTGGATATTTATTGTGACGTTTCCTAAAGATTAAATTTAACAGTGTTAATAAATAAGTGTTAATAAAGATTAAATTTAAGAGAGCATTAGAAGACAGCTAATCTAGGTAAAGGGAAATGAGCATAAACAATTAAATAACCAATATTGACAAACACAAATTAATAAAATAAAAACAAATCTGCAATATCGTTCGGTAACCGGTTTGGTGCCAATATTCCCAAAAAAATTATGTAAATTATTCCAAACACTTGGAATTACACATGGATCAGCTAACGCTATTTACAGGGTTTTGTAATAATACTTGATGGACAGGGTACAAGAAAAACAGAAAGTGATGCTATACCATCTTCACCCTCCTCAAAGGCTGGGTTGACCAGTCCAGGTTCTGAGGGTCCACTGAGTTGAGCTGTGCGTGCAATTGTTGGGGTAGATTTGGCGTCAGCTAAATCTCCATCTGATTTGCTTCCTTTAAACTCATTCCAGGAAGGTCTCTTTTTTTTTTCCGCCTCCTCCCTGAGTCGTTTGAAGGCAGGACATCTGAAAAAGAGGGAAGTGGAGCACAGTGAAAGAGAGAGAACTTCAGCATCATTACTCAGTGACCTGCCGTTAATGAACCTACAAGACATTCCTTACCAGATGGCAACCACAGTAACTAAAAATATCATAAACATGCACCAATGCTGACTACTGCTGTGGATCTGCCATATTCAGGAGTCAGCAGAAAACAGAAGCGAAAAAAACAAATCAATGCTTAATTGTTTCACTGCAAAGCTACATAGCGTTTATCTATTAGTTTAGATGAACATACTTAGGGAGTGGGAATTCTCAGTACAGAAACAAGAGGAGCTATGCAGATGAAGAGATGAACAGGCTTTTCTGCTGCATTGCAGGGATGGTATTGGTCAAAAAATGAGCAGAATCAGGTCTAGTCTGGGTTTCACCATGTCAACACCTCCCTTCCCATCCAACAGCTGCTCTCTCTCTCTCTCTGTTTACATTGGGCCGTTCCTACCCACGTGAATTATCAGCCAAACAACCTTTAGTCCATGCTATATCACAGAAGAGAAATATGATAAAACGGTAAAAGAAAACCCATGTAGGGGAGATGAACGCTGAGGCACAGGGTCATACTAGTGTTCCATTAATGCCAAAGTCATGGATTTTATTCCCAGTGAGTTTTTTTTCTTTTTTGGATACCATATCATCAACTATGGCTTTGCATTAGGTGGAACAACATTTAAGTAAATTCTATATATATATATATATATAATTTTTTTTTTTTTTTACATTCAATCTTATAGGACTGTGGAAAGGAACTATAAGTTAGTACAAGGGAAAGTTGTGCGAGGGGATGAACTCTTAATACTACTTAATTCCTGTAACTGAACGGGCACAAATTAAATATATCAACTCCCATGTGTTCCTGGCAGATGGTGAACAGGATGAGATATCTGCAGACATTCTATAGTAATCACTCATGTGATTCCTAATTAACTCCATTATGTAAAAGAGTCACCCAGTTCTTTCGGGAGTTCAGCCTTCTAGTCATTCATACGGTCCACTTACGTCTATTTAATCCTGTTCAGCTCTCTCAAATCTCTGTTCACATGAAACCTGGATAAGTGGAATTCCACAAATTTTTGAGCAGCTCCCTTAATCGCTACAGTGTGCATATATATCCACTGACTCTTCATAATTGATTTAATTTCATTTCTACAGAATGATATCCGCATTATCTCTGTCTTCATCTCTTCGAGTATGCCTTGGTGCCTTAGTGATATGTAAACATTTCATTCCATTTCAAAAAGTTGTGGCACGCACTAACCTGTTGTGGAGATGGGGCTGCAGCTCACAGCGTTGCATGCTCAGCTGGCACTCGCTGCGGAACGGGCACAGCACAGCCAGTTTGTCCAGCAGGTTACGCACCAGCAGGCTGGAGGCACGGCACTGCTGTAGCTGAAGCCTCTGGCGGTCGACTGGACAGAAGTCTTGGTCGTGCAGGAAGTTGCTGAGGCACTGGAAGCAGTATGTGTGTCCGCATGGCGTGTCCATGGGCTGCAACAGAGGCTGCAGGCAGATGTGGCACACCAGCTCGTCATCCACTTCATCTTGATATTCAAACAGGTGACTGTCATGACCTTCATGACACTGTCCACATTCCTTACACACCCGCACCCACGTTATGCCACCCGCCAGTGGAGCCGCCTTGGGCTCCATCATGGCCTGAAGAAGTTAATCTGGACGTCCACAGGGCTGGAGAGCTTCTGCCTCTTTTTTGCCTCAGCTTGCAAACTCTACATCAGATGAGAAGCAATCAAATATTTCCAATCCAGTAAGAGAACAAACTGCTAGCTGCTTCATCTACACCCAAGTTTCTGTTGGAAAAGAGAACAAAGAAAAACTGAAGCTCATGTCTGGCATTCTTTTTTTGGCTCATGCCGGCTGGACAGGAAATGACATGAATCCACTTAACAGCAACAATATGGGGAGAGGGCTGCAGCTGTATCCTTTCTACGAGTTTCCTCCTCAATAGCAATCGGAGTTTGGCTAACTAACACTATTTAAGTCATTAAACCGGTTAAGCACTGTGAAATGACAGGAGGGCAACAGTCAAAACTCACCTACTAGGTGGAACAAAGAAGCTACTCTAAAAAGGAGTAAGAACTGAAAATGAATAGTGTAAAAATGACAAGCTTTTCAGTAATGACTTCTGCATGCCCGATCTGGAGTGGACGACTTCCCTCTGTGAGCCACATAATCTCTGCTAAATCCATCTACAATGAATGTTTGTTTTGTAACCTTAAATACAACACATTTATGTGGTGCGACTCCCTGAATCCTTAAACAAATTTATGAATGAATATGAATATTCGTTTAAAAAACAACAACTTTCTTTTACTTGTTTACACCACATGACATTTTTAAAGTTAAAATTTTTTTTAAATGGTATTTAACCTTTTCGAAACCAACATGAATACAAAGAAGTTGGTGCATGTGTTTTAAATTAAATCTTTTATCATGGACACTCTTGTGTGGCAGTGTCAGACCCTTATAATAATACTATAAAAAGCATCTCCTTTAGAATACCATAAATATATGATAATTATACAACACCAAAAATTCCTATTCTATAAAAACAATTAATAGCACAATGCAATGACACAATTAACAACCGGCACTTCAAAGGATGAGCAAAACAAACACACTGTCCGCCATTAATGTGAGGTAGTAAATCTCAATCATTATTCCAACCCACCTCAGATGGCAGTGCAGTTACACTCCCCGCAGCCACTGCATGAAAAAAAGAATCTCAAGCCCAACAGCTGCGCTTGCCGCCTGCACCGACTGAAACCAGAGCCCGTCATCTCAACTAGGGACAGAGTGTGTCTGTGCGTGTGAGTGTGTGTATGCAAGGACATGCAGTTAAAGGGGAGCTCAACAGACTGGAGAGAAACGTTCAGAATCCGGCTGTGTCGACCCAGGAGGAGGGGTTGAGAGCGTGCATTTGTGTGTGTGTGTGTGTGTGTGTGTGAGAGAGATGGAGGATGAGGGGGAGTGTAGAATGCTGATGTGGTACTCGTGCAGGCAGAGCATTCTAAGAACCAAGCTCAACCTCTGGCACAGTGTGTTATATGCGTGCATGTGTGTGTTGTCCGAGGTCAAGCAGGACATATTTCTCTCTCACTGCCCTTCTTTCTATTTTACTAATAACTGAATAGACAAATCCCTGTGAGCATTATAATCCACACAAAAACAGTTATTCACACCCTAAAAATTATAATCCTTACCACTACATTTAAATACTAAGTGGCAATTCAAGTAAAATGTATGTATTACTTTAAAGCTAGATAAAATACTTAACAGATATTAGATATATATATCAGTCAATATTGGATATTTAAAGGGATAGTTCACCCCAAAATTAAAAATTTTGTTTCATTGTTTGTGTTTCTTTCTTCTGTTCACAAAAGAAGATATTTTAAAGAATGTTGGTAACCAGACATATGATGGCACCCATTGACTTCCATAGTAAGAAAAAAAAAATACTATGAAAGTCATATAGGCCCTATATATATATATTATACATAATTCATACAGTGCAAAAGTAATGATTATGAATGTGTTGTGAAAAAAAAAGCAAAGAGACCGTCTACATTTTTAAAATTATTGATAATGTTTTCTGTGTTTTCGGCTGCAGAGATTAAGTCGTGCGTGGACACGCCTATATGCACGTTTAATACGGATTACATAATCTGAGAATATTTGTTTTCCACTTAAATTGGTTGACAATCGTTTTACATTTCAAGCTTTCTATAGATTACTATTTCTCATGTCTGTGAGGACACTTTTTTTTTCTTCTTTTTTTTTACACGCTCAAGTTTACAAAGACCGAGATGACAGAAAGTGCCTTCTGTTTGTTTTCTTTATTTTACAAAAACACAACGTTTTGTTGTTATTGTGAGTTTACACAAATAAAAGTAGACATTTTAATTTTGTCATCACACCAGCACCTCCATGTCATGCAGTATTCACAGTATACTTCAACTTCCACACAAATACTTGGATATGCACCTAATAATAGCGCACATTTATCTGTCAACTTTAGAGCGAGTAGCCATGTAAAGTTGCTACTTGCACGATTCAAATGATAAGCCATATTTGATGGATAAAAGGCAAACATTTGGATTTCCTGCCAAATATACTGTAATTACCACAGGACCCATCATTAATGATCTTTCCCTCACAGACTGTGTGACTTCGCCAAGGTTTTTTTTTGCGACTAACTGAATAATAAAAATTTTGGTCGACTAAAAAGCCCTATTCGCACTGGATTAGTATTATCTGGGGACCTCGTGTGATTTAGAAATGACCCACCCACATCTGAATTTCGTGTGGCTCATTTGCTCGGGATAAGCAAAGCCTGTGATTTTACTCTAATTTACTGACTTATCTCCCGGATATGTCATTAGGCAATTGCTTGGAAATGGCTTGTCGTTATAGGTCTAGCTTTATCAAATATCAAACAGAAGAATGTTCTTTACTGCATGCTGCTGTATGTCATCAATCTCCATCTAATCATTAGGGGTTCAAGCACGTAGCACTGAAACCCTATTGTTATTGTTAATTTTCCCATGATGCAGCATTCTCCATTTAAAACTGATCAGGCAGACTGAACTGTAAGGCGTAGAGACTTGAAACTTTGAGGGCTGGCAGTACTCACACTACAGGCTGCGTTTCGACGCAGCGCCACCTACTGCTCTGGAGATAAGAAAAATGGCTATATTTGCTTATCAACGATTTATCCAAAAATCATAAAAGTCTTGTTAGATTCAGGGCGTCATGCAGAGTCGACTGATATCCAAATTTTCCATATCGACCATTTTAGGCGTCGGCCATTTTTTATTTTGTACCAAAATGCGGTATTTTATGAACGCATGATCGTACCGTTACGAAACTCGGTATGTGTCATCAGTACGATGCCTTGAAGGAGCCTGAGAAGTTTTTTTTCGAAATTTTCAAATGCTTATAACTCTGGGTGTGGTTGACTTATTTTCACGGGAGTCATCTCCTTAGGTTCCTGAATCCTTTCAGAGTCCAACAATAACACACATGCTAGGTTTTTACTTATGGTTTGTGTAGAGTTGTGATTTAGCGCTTAAAAAACATTTGGCAATATCTTTCGAAACCGTTAGACCGATCGAGACGAAACCACCGTCAGAAGTTTGGAAACATAGGTCATTGGCTAAACGCTAATGCCCAAATGTCAAAATATTAATGGTAAGTGGCAAGAAAATTCAAACAAAGTCAGGTGTGGGTCATTTATGTGTTTATGCACATAAATGTCTATAACTCTTAAACAAAATGAGATATTTTCACCAAATTTGACACGCACGTATAGGCTCACTCTGAGGACACATAAAACAAAAATAGTGGGATTGTGCCACTTGTTGGCACTATAATAGAACAAAACATGAAATTGCCATTGACTTCAATACAGTATTGTGATGTAAAATGCTATACTTAACGAATGCATTGCTGTAAACATTAAGAAAACTCAGTAGGCCTATGTGCCATCAGCACCACTCAAATTTCGAGACAGCACCACCTTTTGGTCAAAAGTTATAATTAAATTTCCAAAAATGCTAATAACTTTCGAATAAATTTGCCTATTGTAATGACACTGGTCTTAATAGATTCCTTGGTTTATGCCGAAAACATAGATACCAATTTTGCCAGTCAGCAAAACTTCCTGTCCGCCATCTTTATTTTCTTTTAAAACAACTTTTTTTTTCTTCTCCTATATCGTTCGTCCGATTTTCCCCAAAATCGAATAGTATCATCTCCAGACCATGCCGAGTAAAAGTTATGGATTTTGTGTCGATAGACAAAACTGTTTTCGTGTACCGCAGCAGCAAAGTTGAGGCATGATGCCAAAATGACTATTCGAGCTTTATATCTGCAATGCCTTGACATATTGACACCAAAATTGTATGCGTCATTGTCACTTCACTCTGACCACATCACATTGATTTCGTAACTGCGCCACCTATTGGTCGAAAGTGATAAACCATTAAATCATCTTATAAGTTACTGTATATATGATTTTTCAGCCATTTGCCCAAAATCCTCTTAAAATGTCTTTAATTGCTCCTTGCTGCAGTTGCTCTGACACTCCCAGCCATGTTGGCATCTCTTATCGTCTTCTTGCGTTTGGCCCCCCGATAATTGCTGCTTGCAGCTATATTTGTTATTATTATCAGTTTATCTGTATCTGCCATACTTTCAATATTGGTGCAGCCCTGCTGTTGCATGTTTAATAATACTATGCACCGTGAAAAAATACTGACTGATGCTTGCCAGTGTGAAATTAATCGGTAAAATGCCAGGGGTGGGCTAAGCTGTTGATATGGTATTCTGAATGGTAGCAATTCGCCTTTGGCTAAGCCCCGCCCCCCTTAGTTACTGTTGCTACGTCCGACAAACAAATTTCAACTGGGCTCTGGTATCAACATGGCTTATGCTGTGACAGCTCTTCCTGCTGAAATGATCAAACTTTTATACAGCAGCAAATAAAGTGTCCGATAGAAGTAGGCTGAAAGGGGCTGCAATATACGTTCGAAGGCTATATTCACGACATACAGGTGAAACGCAAGGAACAACAAGGCATCCAAATAGAGGCAAAACAAAAGCATACCGGTCACAGTCAAAAAATGACCCACCGCATATCCTTCTAATCGAGACGGAGGCTGGGACTAACAATATCAAAGAGCAACACTGTTCATGCAAAACTGGGTAGGTCTCTATTCACTTCTATAATCGCTATTACAAAGCAAACGGACTACGCGAGTATAACGTTGTATTTTTAGCAGCGTGTGCTAGACGACACTTGTCAGGATTTGACTTCGGTTTGGGAAGGGAAAAAAACAGACACCCCCCTCCAACCTCCCTGGGAAACGCGTATCTGTGTTACAAATGCCCCAGGCACAACGTTTAACCATATTTTTCATAAAACTACGACGGTAATAGCCGGTCAAGACCAAAAATATGAGACGCCTGCTGTGTTAAAGTCAATGGAGCGCTGTGAAAAAGTGTCGGACCACTGTGGGAGCTCATTCTTGGCTGCGCTGTGATTGGTCAATCTACATTCTAGGGTGTGGCTTAGCCAAAGGCGAATTGAATATAACAATATTCTCATCACAAGATAAGGTTTGGGCCATATCAGTGCAAATCTATGATTTCGTTGCCCATTTTTTCATGCCAGAATGTATAACTTGGGGTTAAGGTTTTCAACATAGTAAATACCGGTAGTTAAAAGTGCCTTAGTAAACACCAGTAATTAACAGCAGCCTTGATAAACATTCTATATCATAAAAACTTGAACCTTGTGGCATAGACAGTGATGTGTTTTGTTTAAATTATTTCCACACTTGTCCACTGAAGCTGTGACCCTGGTTAAGATAGATGGACTCACCCCAGCCTCATGGGACTATCTTACACACTAGAGACAAGAAGCTAGTCAATCTCTCCTGTCCTGTAATGATGTAGAGTTTGTGAACCTCTCAAGGTTGAACTCCACTACAAAACTCAACAAACCTAGGTTCACAAACCTCCCTGAGTACACAGTTTGTCACTTACCTGTTTGTCTACTGAACAGGCACATGGACTGTTTCAAAGTCCATAGTGTTTCCAGATGTTAAGATTACCTTGGTGATGATATCATAATAAATGGACTATTCCTGTCCACCGCCTACAGAACAAATGGTAAATCAAATAAAATATGAACACCCAGTCTGAAAAGCTCTTACCTACCCAACTCAACCAGGGGCCATGAATCATTCCCTCAGACACACCTCACAGAATGAATACAAGGGCAATGGCACAGCTCAGACAGAATGACTTAATTTGGAAAGTATGAATACATTGCTATATAGTCACCTGGAGTTTTTTTTATTGTCCTTAAAGCCAATAGGAACCAGTAAGAAGGCTGATTAAACATTGCCTACTCTAACCATTAAAATGGATAGTTCACACCAAAGTGAAAATTCTGTCATTAATTA